TCTCTCTTCTATGGTACTCTGCTCTGTGAACTTGTACTCCCAGCTCTGTTTCTTCAACTCAAGAAGACTTGCTTCTTCTCAGTTCTCCCTCCCTGTGTCACAGCCTGGAGACCATCCAGGCAGTAAGCCAGGACAACTAGGGGGCTCAGCCTATGTGCTTCACATCTCTCAAGGATCATAATTCTTCCTTGCTTGATGTGCAATGTCATGAAAAATCACTGTTACATACAGTTCATTGGATTTCTCAGTTGCTTCAGGTGGGAGGGTAAATCTGGCCCCTTTTACTTTGTCTTGGCCAAAGGCAGAAGTCAAGATAAGAAATTTAAAGGCAGGGGGCGCCTGGGTGGCGCAGTCGGTTAAGCGTCCGACTTCAGCCAGGTCACGATCTCGCGGTCCGTGAGTTTGAGCCCCGCGTCAGGCTCTGGGCTGATGGCTCGGAGCCTGGAGCCGGTTTCCGATTCTGTGTCTCCCTCTCTCTCTGCCCCTCCCCCGTTCATGCTCTGTCTCTCTCTGTCTCAAAAATAAAAATAAACGTTGAAAAAAAAATTAAAAAAAAAAAAAAAAAAGAAATTTAAAGGCAATATTGCAACCATGATCATTTTATAATGTGAGATCCACTTTAATCCTCAAGGGCATTAAAGAATAATAATGGTTATAAAGACCTGTGTGGCACTGGATTAAAAGACCTTTCTGATTGGTTCTGGATGTCTCTGGCTACCAAAGGAGTACAGTTTTTACATAATGCTTAATTTTCCATGGCCCTCAGAAGTTCAATACAGAGAATGTACACAGACAGATTAGTTCTGTGCTCCAACGGATGGGAATCAGTGTTATCCAGAAAAGTAATAATAACGTACATATCAGCCCAAAACTTTGGGTGCTGGCATTGTGACAGACCAGTTCTCAGCACCTTATGTGTATTAATTAACTCACCAGGAGCCTTGGATTTTTACCAATGAGGGCACTAGTACACAAAGAAAGAGACACACAGAGGTGGTCACTAGGAACCAGCCTGTAGTCAGTCACTATCAGATCTGCTGTGCTGCTTTGGACAGTTTCTTGCCCTGGGAGGAAGCCACAGGACAGATCTGTATTGACCCCTGCAAGATATTTGACAGAGTCTTACATGTACGCCGGTGAACCAGATGGTGAACTGAGGCTTAGAGAATCGATATAATTATACAAGGAGGTCTCTAACAGTTTTTCCTCAACTCAGCTTGCCCACAGGGTCATCAGTGGTTGGATAAAGTCACATAAGAACTTAAAGTTTCTGTTTAGGGTTATGGATGGATCCCAGATCAAAACATAGTTACTGAGCACCTACTATGTGCCAGGCACTGACCAAGGTAGGTGGAAAACACTGGGGAGCAAAAGTAAAATTCCTGCCCTTGAAAGGTTTATAATCCAGAAGAGGGAGATTATCAGTAGTCATGACAAACAAATGAATTATATAGCATATTGAAACATGCTACGTTTACGGGGGTGCCTGGGTGGTTCAGTCAGTTAAGTGCCCGACTTCGGCTCAGGTCATGATCTTGCAGTTGGTGAGTTCAAGCCTCATATGGGACTCTCTGCTGTCAGCACAGAGCCTGCTTCTTTTCCTCTGTCCCCCCCACCCCGCTCTCTGCATGTCCCCTGATTTCTCTCTCTCTCTCAAA